TACTAGTTACCGATAAAATATAACTAAATAAAGTTAAAAGATAAGAGTCTAAAAATGTAACTAGATAAAGTTAAAATTATTTAACTTTTTAACTTTTTAACTTAACTTTTATCTTTTTAACTAGACACTACCCAACCTTGGTTATTTCTGTATGCAAGATGCCAAGTAAACTACGGATTTGAATTGAATACGAATTACAATGTGTACGAATATAAACGATAAAAAATATATTTTGCACGTACATCCAACGTTAGGTTTCTACCGGTATCGTATTAATTCTTTCAAAATGATTTTAGTTGTGTGACCGTGTCGTCGTCTGTCAATCGTATTCCAACAAGCTTCATATATTTTACACACAATATCTACGTTCAAATTATAGTCTATAGAGTGCCATTCTAATTTTTGGAAACCGTTATACTATACATATCCGTCTCACACATGAAATACGACATCTATTCGTTTGTTCGTTCAACGTTCTCACCTTTTTTTTGTCTTCGTTTCTGTCGCATTATTGATTATTTGATTGAGAAAAAAATATAGAATGCGATGATTGTCACGGAATGAGAAGGAGAGAAGACAGAATGAGAGAAGAGGAGAGAAGAAAAACATGGAAGTTACCGGTGCATATTCTTGCAAATGCCGCGGTAACTGGAGAAAGAACCATGCTCGTTAAATTATAACAGCTACCAAGTTCCGGATAAAAGCAACGCAACAGAATGTGGAAGGAGAGAGCGGAAGTCGAGAATTGAAAAGAGAGAAACAAGAAAAAGTGAAAGAGAAAGAGAGACAGAGAGACAGAGACAGAGACAGAGAGAGTGACAGAAAGAAAGGTGGCGCGGCAGAGGGTTGCTTTATATGCATACGAGAACATTCAGGTGTCAATCAAGACCGTGATCCTTGGACTCTAGGGTGTCGAGATCGAAACACGATTTTTCCGCTAAAAATTTACGTATTCATTCACGCGAAGATCGCGCGAATAGAGAATGTGCAATAGGCAGGGGTAGATTACGAGCGAGAAGTCTGTTTGCTTTTTCACCACTCTTGACTTCATATTCAAGAGCATATTTTTTGCGCCAACCGTCACGCATTGTTAACGTCAACTCACGTTTCTGTGTTTTTTTTTTTTTTTTTTTTTTTCCATATGTTGCTGCCAATAACGGCAGAAAGAAACGACAAAAATTCGGCAGTTCTCCGATTCTAAACGAGAACGGAAACGAGTCCTCAATTAGATTTGCGAATGCATATGTTTATTTTGTTTAGGAATCTGTAAATTATTTTTATACCTTTTTTTTTATATATAAAAAATATATATAGTTTGTTTTATATAGCATTAACAAAAATTAATTATTGTACATAAAAACGGGTTATAAATAAATAAATTTCTTTTCTTTCTTACTACGTCTTTCTTTGTTTTTTTTCTTTCTTTAGTTTAATTATTTATAACACTAATAATTATACACAATTTTTCACACAAAATGTTATCTTTTAATTTAAATTTGATATTACATTACAAACAAATAACTTTGTGTGAACAGGATTTTAAAAAGGCAGGAAGTTTATAAATATACATATGTAGTAATGGTTTTTTATTTTCAGTAACTGTGGATGATTTATTGTATCTTGCAGCGATATCGTTTCATATTGCACATATATTTTCGTACACGAAAACAAATGCCGTAACAATTATATAAATTCTCGCAATAAATTCTTTTTCTCTTTTTCTTTTTCAGGCAATTTATTGAGTTTTAAATTATGACTTATGATGAAGTTTGATTGGACGGTTTGGTATAGAATACATCATCGACAGATCAAACACTTCTGCATTTTTCGCGATCGGCATTAGTCGGCCAGTCGCAAATAAGCTTAGAAGCGTTGAAAATTAAACCAGTTGGGCATTGAGCTTTAATTGGTTTGCCGTGATCACATATATAATACTGTAAGAAAACACATTTTCAAATACATTTAGACATATCCAATCGCCAATTTAATTAATTGATACAAGTATTGAGAGCAACTTATATGAACATACCGTTTTGCAATCTTCACCGGGAATGATATTTTGGCCGTTGCAGGTGACTTCGCTGTTATCTGGAGGGTTCGGAGTCGGACGAGGTTCTTCAGGCACTTCCGGTTTTTCCGGCTTTTCCGGATTTTCGGTGGGTTTGGGTTTCGGTTTCTCTGGTTTTTCACCTGTCGAAGGTGTAGTGCTCGGTGGTCTGTCCCAATCGGGCTGAAATTGTGATTATTATGTATTCAAATATTTTGTTAAATATTCTTGTATATACGCTATGTGTACGCTTTTTTGTCACTTAAATATATACAGTTGAAATTTGTTAGTAAAGTCTTACCCTCGGTGTGGTCTTGTAGTCCTTTGAAGTTACCGTGTAACCTTTCAGACCATTGTAGATAGCAGTCATGAGAGGATTCACAGGACCGCAGATACCTCTGAAATCATCCATGTCAACGGCCCAAACCATCGCGCCGAGATACTTTTTCTCTTTGAGAAAATTCATTTTGTGGACAATACTGTCAGCGTCTTCGTAACCAACCCATTGGGTTTCTGCAAAAATCCACATTATTCTGAGAAACTTCGTGTATATACATATATATATCGCAATCTCTCTCTCTCTCTCTCTCTCTCTTTGTGTTAGTACTGAAACTTACCTTTATACATGTAGGGCACTTTGCCTATGTCGTCGTAATCCTTGGTCCATCCGTTGTCCGGCTTCTGGAGCTCCATACAAATCTGAGAGAGATAACATTTTGACGTATAAATGTGTATTCACTAATACTACCTAGATTCCATTTTTGCCGTAGTCCTACAGATCGATTACTTACTTCGTAGTAAGCCAAGAATCCTTTAGCTCCTGTGTACTTGCCGGGCGCTCCACCGCCTGCTTCCTTGTTGATATAAGTTCCAGGTTTATAGTTGTTGTTGCCTTGACTGAGAGTAAAGGTACGTCCGTACAACGGGATTCCTACAACAAGTTTATTCGCGGGACATCCTTTGTCTTCCCAGAGTTGAAGACCATCGTGCTAAAAAGCAACATCGATTGAATATTCAAAAATAGTAATAGTTAAAAGTAATAAGTAGTTTTTTCACTTTTTATAGATTCATTTTGTGTGTGTGTGTGTGTGTGTGTGTGTGTCCATCAGATTTTTCCGGGCCGATCTCTTTCAAGTCGAATTTATTGATTGAAAAAGCGAACTGAATCGGGCCTCTAATCAGCTTGAATTGATTATGGATATACATAGAAGTGGAATGTAAAAAATATCGCAATCCTGAGAAGAATTAAACTTATATAAGTTAAAGAATAAAGAAAGTTTAATTAATATATATATAAACCGGCCCAGTGGTCTTGCAGTCTAAGTACGAGAGCTGCGAATGAGTGATTCCGAGTTCGAATCCACATCGTCGGATTTTTCTGGGCCGGTCTCTTTCAAGTTGAGGTTATCGATTGAAAAAGAGAACTGAATCGGACTTCCAGTCAGATTTAATTGATTATAGATATAGAAGTGGAATGTAAATAATATTGCAATCCTGAGAGGAATCAATTAAACTTTCTTTATTCTTTAACTTATATAAGTTTAATTCTTCTTAGGATTGCGATATTTTTTACATTCCACTTCTATATTCATAATCAATTCAAGCTGATTGGAGGCCCGATGATCAGTTCGCTTTTTCAATCAATAAGTTCGACTTGAAAGAGATCGGTCCGGAAAAATCTGATGAACACACACACACACACACACAAAATGAATATATATATATTCATTTTGTGCGTGTATATATATATACAGGGTGTCCCGCAACTACCGTATTTCCTTTTAGCAGATTCTCGAGGTCATTCTGAGACAAAAATCTTAATACCAAAATGTTGAGACTATAATATTTAGGGGTAATAACGTGGTATTACATACCACGTTCAGTTTTTCATATGCGTATTGATCGTGAGGCCTTCTGTAGAGTGGACTATGTACATCCGCAAATCCGGCCCAATTTCCACGGAGGTCGTAAGACATGACATGGATGGCGTCAATAAGTCTGTAAATCAATAAAATGTGTGTGATTATTAAAGAAATTATATTAAATATGTTAAAAAAATATTAATGTATAAGAAATAACTTACTCGCATAATTCAGGCACGTGATATCCCTCGTTGAGACGGAACGGAGCCATTGGTACTGCCATAGTAATTTCCCAGCCTTTGCCTGTCTTGTCGAACGCGGTTCTCAGCTCTTCGACAAAGTAAAAGAAATTATTCTTGTCGCTGAAGGTACCACCTCTATCGGTAGCTGCTGGGTATTCCCAATCGAGATCAAAACCGTCAAAACCGTACTTGTTCATAAATTCTGCAAGCAAAATTGTAAATAAAATAAATATTAAATTAATAATAACAAAAAGAAGATTCTTCGAGCTCAGAAGTCTTTAGCCTAATGAATGAAAATAAATTGGGTTGTAAGAGCCGTTTGCAGGATGTTATGCAAAATAAATATTAATAAATATTGAATCAATGTTTTTATTTAATACACGAAAAAGAAAGAGAGAATAGTTTAATTAAATAAAAAGTCAGTTTCCGCACGTAATTCACACTCACCGACGATGCTTCTAATAAGAGAATCACGCCTAGGCTTAACACTGACCATTGCGCTATATTTTCTACCGCCTTCGGCCCAGCCGCCGATAGCGACCTGAGTTTTCAAATGTGGATATTTCTCCTTCAGGGCAACAAATTTGTTGAAGCTGCCGTTCTGAACATCGAGCTCTTCATCGAGAATAAGCACTTCCCAAGTGACGTTGCTGACGCCTATAAAGGAGTAGATAACATGCGTACACATATCGGCTGGAATATCATCGATGCCATAACTGCCCACATCCGGACGGTAAATAGCCCAGTTGCTGAAATAACAGACCAATCTTGGAGATTCTGAAATGTAAATATAGCATACACTTTTAATTTATTAGATCAGTGCTCGCCAAGAGGTAGTAGTAGCCCAAGCTACCCCACCTATATCCGACAAACGCGTTTCAATTCTTCTACTTTTATCGTAGCGTTCGACGCTAATAAAGCGAGAAAGTCATCACACAAGAGTATCATATTTTACAATTTAATAAAACTTAGATTATAGAAAATATAATTCTTTACATCTTTCCCTTTTTGTATTAATGTTTTTGCAATTTTTGATTATTATTAATTTTTTTGATGTAAAAATAATAAAAAACTAAAGTATATAAAAAATTGTAATCATGGAAATATACTTAACGATAGCGCGATTAGACTTTTCTGTTATCTTATAAAGTAGAACTGACCAGTTGCCGCACACATCAAGAGTGCCAGAAATACGGGAAGGGAAAACAGCAGCTTTCTCATTGTAAACGTCATCGTGGTATCTGCAATTAGAGGGACAGTTTTTAGTAAGTAAATTATAATTTTATCTCACTTACTTACGCAACGAGATAAATGGAATAATTGCCGAAATGTCGAATCTAAATAGATGTTCTTTCTTTTCTTACATTAAACTTTTTATATGTAATTTTTTTCGTTTTCGTTCGTAACTTTTAAATTAATATGTATACATATATGTGCTTTGATATTTTATTATATTCTATTACATATGTAAAAATATATATTAATATTTTTTTAAATAAAATAGGAAGAGGCTTGATCTGCTTTAAACACACTCTGCGGTCACGTTATCTAAGCCTCGTGGTGCGGTTTGCTCGGCACTCAACGCGTTTCTGCAACGCGACCGGTTATCCGAGAGCTTCATCGAGCCATCACGGAAATTCCTTGAAGCGTAAAGCGCTCGATTTATCCAAGTGTTGTCATGCCCAGGGGGAATGATCTATAACGACCGGTTCTTCGATGTCACAGTGAACATTGACACTATCGTGAAATCTTAGGAGTAAATAGGATGATGTTCGGCTTATTCATCCATAAATGCGCGACTAAAAAGCATATTTGCCAGATTCATAATTTTTGATGTCAAAATTGATACAATTCTTTTCTCAATAATAAAAAAAAAAAAAAATTCAACAGACGTTACACATAAAAATTCAATTTCTTAAACAGTTTTTAAAACTTTTTTTATCAACTAACAGAAAATTTTGTTGAGGCAAATACTTTTCTAGCGTTTCTATTTACATAGTCGACTTTTTTTTGGTAGCATAAGACAGATTTCGAATATAGGAATTGACAATCTAAATGTGTCTCTAAACGACTGTAAATAAATAACTTTATAAATCAATACAACGGTGTCAAATATGGCTTCTATTATTATGTGAATAAATCTTTTTAAGATTTTTTATCGGCGTTTTTATTATACGCGCGACTACTATATTAGATACATAGTCACTGTTCTTTAACCCCGGTAAATATAAATGTGGTCATTTTGACATCTTAATAACTGTTCTCGCGTGATTATATATATATTCAGCTATCACACAGAACAAATCTTTATTAATTCATCTTGGATAGAATTAAACTAATATAGATAATAATTACTCGTTCATTAGATCTAGAGTTTAATATATGCATATTAAATTAAATATAGACAATTCAAATTAAGACGATATGAAGCTAAGATTGATTTCAGTAAAATCAATAATAAGTTTTATATTCGCGCTTAACAAATTATCTTTTATATTGAGCAACAATTTTCACAATTGTATTTTTAACCGGATAATAACAACATTGCATTATGAGTTATGGTAATCCAGTTGTGTGAGAAAAACAGATAGAGAGAAAATTACACGAATCTCAGTAGATCGCACAAAAACCGCGATATTCATTCAAGCGTACGCTTCAAAATTCCCACAAATCTGGTCGGATATACATTTCAGGAGAGATCTCTTGTAATTGAAATTGTCACCACGTCGTTCGCCGTATTACGCGAATGTATAAAAACAACCAAACAATTCCAAGACAATTTCAATTCGTGCGCGCTCGATATAGAGGAAACAGAATTACGACTACAATACAGTTTTGTGGCATTGTAAAATTTATGTGTTACTCGGCAAACTTTAGATCTAGATTCTCACGAAAAATTGCGCAACGTTTGCGATTGTTATTGCTGTAACAAGAAGAGCAACCGGAAATAATCTCGTGGACACGCAGCATTGACAGAGCCGCTCTTTACTATACAAGAGAGACGAGAGAGTCTCTCTTATCTTTAATAAAGTAATTGTATCAAATATAATGAAAAGAGTATCGAATGATTCTCTTTTTATAATCTCGTGTGATGCCGTCACAAATATCGGTTGTTACAACTTTGTCGCGCGAGTGCGGTAGGCAGAATTAACAACCGAGACCGCAGTTGGCAAAGGAGAAGACGATGTTTTGAAATTGTAAAATCTTCGTTGGGGAAGTTTCTCCCCCCGTTTCTTTTCTCGTTATTTCTCTCCTACCAATAGGATCGTGGATAACGATGTCGAATTTAGCGACGAGTAACCGTTCGTGGACGGCACGGCGGCTTATCTCTCTCGAAAAAAAACCGTCTAAAGACCGTCCTTCGGATTCTATAACCGCGTGTATCAGGATAAAAAAATGGGTAATGTCGTAGAGATGGTTATAAAAATAATCGAGCGTGTATGTGTAGAAAAGCAAAATTTGTCTTGTTTCGTTCATGACTATTGACGAATCTTCGTTAAAATGCAAGATGCGTCAATTCCTGTACGATTCCTGTTCCGTTCGTTACATTTTGAATACAAATGTCGAACAAAAGGTAACGTAAGTGTAAACGAGATTTCATAGAAGCTTTTTGAAAATAATTATTTTGCTTTGCGCGATCATCTCATTTAATTAACTCTGATGAATGACCAGAGTTAGCTTATTTAAAGGAGAGAGAAATTGTGTGAGAAAAAAAACTATCAAGGTCATCTTCTATTCTTCTGTTACCAGAAAAAGAAAGAGAGAGAGAGAGAGAGAAAGAGAGACTGAGACTGACAATGAGACTGAAAAACAGAAACATAATCTTTGGAATTATTAATTTTTTCTCGATTCTGATTGTGACATTTCGAATTTCAAAGAATTGTTTTTCTGTTTATTAATAAAGTAAATATTTCTCAAAAAATTGTTGAAATTTTGTCTACAATTTCATTATAATATTAGATATAGTTCTAGTTTTAAAAATATATTGCAAACGTGCTGATCTATTTATACCCGGTAAAAAATTTTTCATATATACTTATACACAAATTAAATAATTAAAATAATTATATCTAATTATGCAAATTTATATATGCCAAATATGTCCATACAATTTTATACACGGAGAATTTCTTTTTTTAAGAGAATGGCTTCAGAGATATTCCATATCAAATTACACAATAACTCTATTAGTATCATGTTAGATACAAAAAAAGTATATAAAACTATATTTTTACTATATTAAAAAAAATTTTTGATATATAATCATATATACTTATACACAAATTAAACTTATTATATCTAATTATGCAAATTTATATACCGAATATGTCCATACAATTTTATACATGAAAAATTTTTTACCGGGTAAAGTAAACGCAATCATTGTTTTAGTAAACAACAGAGAAAAAAGGTGACAGAACATAAACAGAACAAAGAAGAAGTGCATATATATATTTGTATTCGACTGATAGCATGTTACCAAGGCTACGATCTCAGTTCGCACCAACTTTACACGTCATTAGAAATACGATCGCATGCTGCGCGATCGCGTTGTTTGCTTTGTGGGAGGCAATATAACGGTTTAGCCCGGTTAGACGATGTTAATTAATATCTTATTCATCAATAACGGTGAACTCTTACGAGAATTTCAGAGATTTTTTTGTCAAGGTCTTCCTTTAGAAGTCTCGTGACTTGTGTGAGACACACCTCCGGTTTGACCTTCGTTTCGACCAAAAAGTAAGCAAAGTAACCTGAGCGAGTTTTGTCTTTGCCGCGCAATAATAACAACTAGAATATCTCATCAAATCTATTTTACATAAAAAGTAATTTAAAAAAAAAAAGAAACAATGGCATCTTCTTCGATAAAAACTATTTTTTGAATTGATGACGTATCTCTCAACTTGACGTGATATACATAAATGTCACTTTACCTACATCTGAGTGTTAAATGTTAATTCTAAGCCAAGAAAACAATAAACGCGAGAGATACTCGTAAATAACAAAGAAAAGCTCGCAAGACAAAAGTTTAACGAATCGCTCTCAAGTGTCTTAACGTAGATGCCAACGGATTGACCTTCGCTTCGAACGACGAAAGGAAGAAAGAAAAATGAAATAATTAAAAACCCCAGAGAAGCGAGTGGACATTCGGTAAACATATTATAGTATCGACGGTTTCGAAAATATTCCACAAGATTCGCGCACTGACGACGATATTTGCAATAGTTTATCATTGACAGAGCCGCTATCATTAACGAAATCCGGTCATTTTGATCGGTTTTATCCATCTTAATGGATCAAAATGACAGGTGTCATGGTTACTTGTTTCTTAATGACTGATGTATATGAAAGTCACATAAAAATACATTAATTTCTGTACATTAATATACTTAGAGCATCAAAACTAGTGTTTTATTGAAAAGAAATAGAGTTAAAATATTTTCTCACGAAATAGAATAACGATTGTAGCAATTACATGAAAAAAAAAAAAAAATAATATATGTGTATAAATATACAATTTTTTATCTCTCTTTCAGAAAAAAATAAAAAATGTTTCCACAAATTATGCAAATATATTTATCTGTGTACGTACCTCTGTGATATTTCAAAATTTCAGCAATGGTTTTCGCTCTGTGATACACATTGATTTCTCTACACTGATAAAAACTAGATTGCACTTCGATGTTTCGACTGTACTGCAACGTTTACATTCTTTTTCTCGAATGACAAGTTGCGTCCTCGCATTATTTATTTATACTAAAATTTCTAATATTCCCACTATTTAACAACCACTTTATGCCAGTTCAATTCCACTGATTGCTGTGTGTTCTTCGAACACAGATAATAACCTGATATTACACGACATTGTAGTGATAAGATTTCCACAGGTTGTGATAATCAATATACTGATCATCAAAATTAAGAAACGCACTGTTGATGTTTTACATACCATTGTTATTTTATTTAGTAAAATATGTAAAACTACACATCTACGCAGTTTTACGATCGAATATCTCGTGTGAAACCAAGTTATTATTCATCTTTTACGAAAGATGCGCAATCCATAGAGATGGAATCATCTGTAGTGAAGTTAAGACAACATGGCATTTACATACGCTTAGAGAAAAACCGGTAGACAAGTTAACTATATTTATAATGAAAATAAATCTTAAGTCTTGATTTCTGTTCGTTCTTATCTGTCGTCGCATATATCTAATGTATTTATCGTAAAATCTAACACAAAAATGTTATTGATACAAAATGTTATTGATGTTAGTTGGTTAATACGAAATGAAACAATACGACGAATTTATTGGCACATCCAGAAATAATAATCCAGAAATATAATCGTTCTCGGGAACATATACTATTTCGCAAAATACCTGATTTTCACAGAACTAACGACTTACTTTACACGATTTGTTGATAAAGTTCAAAGATAAAGTTCAAAGATAAAGAACGCGTAGAGATAATTCATAGAAACAAGAACGAGCATTTTGCGGAAAATGCAAGCGTGTGATAGTGAATAAGAGAAAGACTCACCTGCGCGATGGATAGATGTCTCAGAAAAAGCGCGTCCGAAGATGCGAGCTTATGCTCATATATACCCAAGTAGACGCCTCATTAGAATTCAGATGCACGGGCCACCGCACGATTGGCTGGTTCGTCGACCCTCTGTCTCCCGTCAATGTTCAGGAGGACGAGTATCGTGTCGCAGCGCGAACACGATCCGTCATCGCAACGCTTGTTACTTGTATTTTTGCAATTCAGTATAAACAAGGGAACATCCTTGATAGAAAAACATTTACAAACTTATGTGACGAAATCTTGCACAAAATTGTAATTTGCAATTATAATTTTTACAGATATATTTACAGATATATTTTAGATATATTTATTTTACAGATATATTTTAGGAAATAGATGTAAAAAACATTGATCTTTTATAAAATATTTGTAGTTGTTTGCAATATTACTTTCCAAATACTATTTCGGCAAAAGAATAACGATATGGCGAATCATCTTAACAGTATGTTTGCAAAATTAATTTCAAAAAGAAATTGTCCAATAATTGAGAAAAAAATTTCAGCTATATGATGTTTAAAATTTGTAGAAATATAATTGCATATGAGGAAATTAACTTAATTCATGTATATACTTGGAATGGAAATGCATACCGACTTTTTCGCGCTTTTTGACAAATATTATTTACAAAATTTTATTTCAACAAAACTGTTGCGTTATGGCGAATCATCTTAGTGCAATCATTGCAGGATCGTCGTTATTCATTATGCCATTTTTGTGCAATATTTTCACAATTTGTCTATTAGGGATCTTGTTTGTTTGTTTTTTGGGAATTTGTTGTTTTTAAATAACGTATGTCTAATTAGAGAAGACAATGCATTCAATTGTTACGTCTATATACCCTGATAGGAAAACATTTACAAAATTATGTGACGAAATCTTGCATTAAAATTGTAATTTGCAATTATATAAATATATTTTAAGAAATAGATGTAAAACCATTGATCTTTTATAAAATATTTGTAGTTGTTTGCAAAATTACTTTCCAACTACTATTTCGGCAAAAGAAGAATGATATGGCGAGTCATCTTAGCAATATATTTGCAAAATTAATTTCAAGAAGAAATTGTCCAAGAGTTGAGAAAACAATTTCAGCTATGTGATGTTTAAAATTTGTAGAAATATAATTGCATATGAAGAAATCAACCTAATTCGTATATATACTTATGGAAATTGATAACGACTTTTTTGCAATTTTTGACAAATATTATTTACAAAATTTTATTTCAACAAAACTGTTGCGTTATGGCGAATCATCTTAATGCAATCATTGCAGGATCATCGTTATTCATGATGCCATTTTTGTGCAATATTTTCACAAGTTGCCTATTAGGGTACATGTATAATATCAGAAATTTTTCTTCTTATGTTTTTTAGTTACAAACTTCTATTGTCATAATTATTACTTGTATTATGTTAAACTGGCATTTATAGATTTTTTTATAAACTAAAATATATATTAATTTTTTAATATGTATCACATTAGGTTGTCATTGTTTCTCTCAAGAAAGAAATGCGCTACTCTTGAAACATCGTACATAATAAAAAAAGGCGGAAAATATAAGACAATAAAAAATAGATATTTGAAAAAAATCAGATTATCACGATAAAACACTAGCTTATATATATATATCTTATGACAAT